GTTATTATTATTATCATTATTATTATTATTATTATTATTGTTATTTTTATTGTTATTATTATTATCATTATTATTATTATTATTGTTATATTTATTATTATTATTATTATTATTATCATCATCATTATTATTATTATTGTTATTTTATTATTATTATTATTAATATTATAATATTATTATTATTTTTATTTTTATTAAAACTATTATTATTATTATTTTAATATTATTATTTTTATTATCATTATTATTATTATTATCATTATCATCATTATCATTATTATTATTATTATTATTATTATTATTATTTTTAATATTATTATTATTATTATTATTATTATTTTTAATATTATTATTATTATTATTATTATTTCTTTTTTGGTAACTAACTTTTTGTTAATTTTGCGAGAAAACCTTACCAAAGAAGCAACTAACACAACATGCTTAAAACAAAATAAACAACTCTATAACACTACTCTAATAACTATTGACTCAAATATTCCTAAGTTTAATAACATTGATAAGACTATTGGGAAATCTAGCTATAGTTACATAAGCTATCCTCTTAACAACTTCATCAATCAAGCTACTCTTCTCTTCAAAAATTCTCTTGTTTCTTTCACTCCACTTCTCATAGACTCCTTCTGCAAGTACCCCTTTCAATATTTGAGCTCTAACAGTCTTCTCTTTCCCATTTTTAACACACCATTGAATAAACTCTGTCCAAGACTTTGGCATGTTGCTTTGTACATTAATCCACCTTAGCAGCCTCTCCCATACTGCTTCAGCATAGTGACATTGGATGAACAAATGCTCCATACTCTCTTTTGCCCTTTTGCACAGTACACAATCTCTATCAAGTGTCATTCCCCATTTAGTAAGTCTATCCGCTGTTGCTAGCTTCCTTGTCTTCTTTGTTTGCCAAGTCCCAGCAGAGTTTAGCTACTGCTGCTCTATTCCATACTTGCATGTTTATCAGCCCCATGCCACCTTCACTTTTAGGCCTGCAAACTTGCTCCCATGCTATTAAAGCCTTCTTAGTAACATGTCCAGTTCTTGACCATAAGTAGCTTCAACACAGACTCTCAATCAACTTGATTATCTTAGCTGGAAAAATGAACAATTGTGCCTAATAAGATTGAACACCAAATAACACTGTCTGCACCAATTGAGCTCTCTCTGCATAAGATAGCTTCCTAGCTGTCCAAGAGTTGATTCTTGCCATTATTCTATCAATAAGTGGATGCCATTGCATAACTGACATTTTCTTAGTTGATAATGGAACTCCCAAATATTTGAAAGGCAATTCTTCCATGTTGTATCCCAGCTGCTGAACAATCTGTTGCCTCACTTCTCTTTGGACACCTCCACAATATATTGAACTTTTATTGTGGTTAGCCTGTAACCCTGAAGCTTGGAAAAAATGAGAGAAACATAATTGAATGGCTATGACAGACTCAAGATCACCTCTAGCAAACAATAACAGGTCATCTGCAGAACATAGATGAGTAACATCAAGCTTTGAACACTTAGGATGGTACTTGAACTTTTTATCATCTCTAAGGCCTTTAAGGGTCTTACTCAGATACTCCATTGCTATAGCAAATAGAAAATGAGACATTGGATATCCTTGTCTCAACCCTTTAGCTGCTTCAAAACTTTGTGAAATATGCCCATTAACTACTATAGAATAGTTCACAGTTTTGACACATTTCATTACCCATTGCACAAACATCTCAAGAAATCCTAAACCATACATTACTTGCTCCAAAAATGCCCATTCCCCTGAATCATAAGCCTTCTGTAAGTCAATCTTCAGCATGCACCTAGGAGAGATATGTTTCCTAGTATAAGCTTTAACCAGCTCATGAGCAAGCCTATTGTAACGACCTGTTTAGTCGTTTTAAGCAGCAGATTTTATTTCTGGAAAAACTGGCTGAGACGACGGATCCCACGATGGACCGTCATGGGCACGACGGACCGTCGAGGGGGTCTCGTTTCAAAATACTTAGAATTCTGAAATTTGGGTACTGAAATTGACTCTCTGAACTTCGTGATGGAATGGCAGGACGGACCGTCACAGACCCTTGGTAAAAATCTAGTCTCTGAACTCTGTGACGGAAGCAGCAGGACGGACCGTCGCAGGCACGACGGCCCATCACAGACTGCGTAATCCCAGGCTGGGTCGGATTTCTGTTAAATGTTTTAAGGGGCGTTTTGGACTATTCCTGCTTATAATTATAAAGTTAGTGGTTGAATATTAATAATCCAATTTCTTGAGGGTTAAAAGAGATAACCTTGAATCAATTAATGGGTTAATTCATCATCTTTTATACTTAATTATATGCTAATTAGGGTAAAAGAAAGAGGGTTTGAATAAGAAAATAGAAAGAACAAAGCGAGGGAGAAACGATCGAGCAAGAGGAGAGAACGAAGAGGAAAGCAAAGCATTGAAAAGTAGATTCTTGATCACGAATTCTTCGGTGGAGGTAGGTTATGGTTTTTATGCTATTCGTAGTAAACTCTTAATAGCGAATGATATGTGTTGGGTAGTATTATAAAACCTTCTATATGCTTAATTGTGTGCATACATGATGTGATTATATAATTGTGATGAATAAGCATGATGAGTCTATTGAATCTCTAATCCTAAATTTACCTCGTTAATGATGATGCCTTGGTGTAAGAGAAGGCTTGATGAACTAAAGTAATGAGATTGATGATGCCTTGGTATAAAAGAAGGCTTGATGAATTAATAGAATGAGATTAGTGGAGCGGGTGTCACGAACCGACACGTAGAATTAGGGGATCGGGTGTCACGAATCGACACGTAGAATTAAGGGATCGATGTCACGAACCGACATGTAGAATTAGGGGATCGGGTGTCACGAACCGACACGTAAAATTAGGGGATCAGGTGTCACGAACCGACACGTAGAATTAGGAGATCGGGTGTCACTAACCGACATGTAGAATTAGGGGATCGGAGTGTCACGTTCCGGCACATAGTAGTAGGGGAGCGGAGTGTCACGTACCGACACAAGAGGAAAAAAGATAATGAATCTTGGAATTATGTTAATAAATTCGAATGAAGAGAACCTATATCCCAAATGAGTATGGTGTGGAGACTTGAGTTCTCATAGGTGTGTTTGATGCGGTTACACATGATTTGTGAACTTGTTGCTTTCACCTGTTGAGGAATATGGTTGATTTTATGTTATTATGTGATATATACTGTTTTCTATTTTGAGTTGGCCGATGATATCTACTCATTACTTGTGGTTGTACTGACCCCTACTTGTAATTGTTTTTCTTTGTTATTTGTGGAGTGCAGCAAACGTACCGTCATCTTCAACTCAACCGCAACTCTAGCCAGTCTTCGTCACAACAGATTTCAGGGTGAGCTAAAGCTTCTAGCTTGGACTGGATCTTCTTCTTTATGTCTTGATGCCTTGAACATCCGGCCTGGACAAGTTTTTTACTTATTTTAGCTTCTTAGATACTCCTAGATTAGTAATTTGAGGATAGATGTTCTTGTGATGATGACTTCCAGATTTTGGGGATAATAAAAGTTGTTGAGTTTTTAGAAGTTATTTAATTGTTTTTCATTAATGAGTTTAAGTCTTCCGCAATATATTCCGTCATTATATTGAAATGTTGGGTTTTGTATTGGTTGGTTCGCTCACATAGGAAGGTAAGTGTGGGTGCCACTCGCGGCTCGATTTGGGTCGTGACAACTATATTATCAGAGATCTTCCTTCCTGGGATGAATCCTGCTTGGCTGTCACAGTTAACACTTCGAATCACTCCATGCAGCCTATTAGTTAGAACTTTGGAGATGATCTTATAAACCACAGTACAACAAGCTATTGGCCTGTATTCTTTCACTAATTTAGGATTCTGAACTTTTGAGTATTATTATTTATATTATTATTATCATTATTATTATTACCATTATTATTATTATTATTATTATCATTATTATTATTATTATTATTATTGACATTATTAATATTATTATTATAATACTATATTATTATTATTAAAATTAATATTATTATTATTATTATTATTATTACCATTATTATTATTATAATTATAATTATTATCATTATTATTATTATCATTATTATTATAATTATTATAATCATTATTATTATTATTATCATTATTATTATTATCATTATTATTAGTATTATTATTATCATTATTATTATTATTAATATTATTATTATTATTATTATTATTGCTACTATTATTATTATCATTATTATAATTATTATCATTATTATTATTATTATTATTATTATCATCATCATCATCATTATTATCATTAATATTATTATTATCATTATTACTATCATTATTATTATTATTATCATCATCATTATTATTATTATTATCATTATTATTATCATTATTATTATTATTATTATTATTGATATTGTTATTATTGTTATTATTATTACAATAACAATTATTATTATTATTATTATTATCATTATTATAATAATATTATTATTATTTATATTATTAAAATTATTATTATTATTATTATTAAAATTATTATTATTATTTTATAATTATTATTATCATTATTATTATTATTATTATCATCATCATCATTATTATTAATATTATTCTTATTATTC